ATACAGACCAGCTTTGTTAGCAGAGGAGTCTGTATGGGCGCCTCTGCCCCCTGCTTGTAAACATGTGAACATAGAAACGTGGAAAAAACGTTCTCCCTTGGATCACAGGGTTGTACACACACACACACACACACTCTGAAGCCTGAAGCCTTAATGTGGAGTTCAGGTAGGAGTGTAGGCTGAGGGGTTTGAGATTCTAGATCACTCGACAAATGACCATGTCTTTGGGGCCAGGCTCGGGCGCAAGCTGTCTAAAAGCAGGAGGTAGAGGCTTTAGGGTTTAGGGCTATTCACTCCCAAAACTGCAATCCAATTTTGTCCGACACCTCTTAGCACGGATCCTCACTGCTGCCAGTGACACAGCTGAAGCCATCTCTGGAAGGTAGCCAAAAGGTGGGTTAGTGTCCATGCTATAGTCCCCCTTAAGTAGATAGAATATTACCCTAGGGGTTATATAGGGATAATGGAAAAGAAAATGGAAACTACTAATTAGGGTTTAGGGTTTAGAGTTTAGGGTTCAGGGGTTGTAGTCCCCCTTAAGTAGATAGAATATGGTTTTGGGTATATTATAATAAGATCCCCATATACCCCATGTTCTATCTACTTAAGCGGGACTATACTATGAGGGGCATAGATGACCAGAAAATTCAACCAAGCGAAGTTTATGAAAGTAAATGCAATTCAGACCAGGGTCTTGCATTGATCTCACAACAAACAAGACGTGAGTATTCCTATGGACCTATGGATAGCAGAGGTACCACCAGCAGCGCGTGCGCTTAAAGAAGCAGGTCATGTAGTTCTGCAGGTAGGTCGTGTTGACGTGCAAGCTATTCTCATTGTTCGCGGCGGAGTTGTTGAATTCCCAGGTCACAAAGTCCTCAGAGACCACCTGCTGGCCAAACGAGATCTGACGGTTAGGGCCTTTTTACAGCCCCGTAGACTTTTAATGTCTAGCTTCAGCTCGGGGGACTTGTTTGCCCGGTCGGCCTACAGGGGCTCAGTCAGTACTTCCAGAGGACGATCATTACTGTCATGTTGGGAGGGCTTACGCTTTAGGGCTGAGGCGAAACAATGTGTCTAGCCGCACATGCCAATGGGCACAAATCACTCAACCCCTTGCACCAGACATTTCTAAATAAGTACTTGAAGCCCTATAGCAATAACAGTAATAATAATAATAGTAGTAGTAGTAGTAGTAGTAATTATATTGATATTAGTAATGATACTAGTAGGAAAAACTACAGCAGCGATAGGATAATGTGGCAGTCAAGGGCTTGCTCGACCCTCCTCGCAGCAGCCCAAGAAATGGCCTCTGTCCCTAAGCGGGACTTTGTCAAGATGACGGTCGCTACTTGAGGTCGTAGCGAAATACCTTAGGAGGACCCCCAACCTGAAGTGGTGGATAATTGGTATATAAGAAGAGTAATATAATCCTTCGTATCCATTATAGTCATTATTGCTTCCAGGGTCCACCTAAGAAATCCCAATATACTTGGTCCTTAACACTAAACCCTAAACCCTTCCTTTCATTCCTATTTTTTCCACGAGCAAGACATACCCTGAACACGATGTAGTCCTTGCTATACGCACCGGCAAAAGAACAAATGAATGGGGGTTTCCCAAAGTTTGGGGTACCTTTTTGGAGGTCCCCATAATAAGGATCATAATAGTTTGGGGTCAATATTCGGATCCCCCTACTCAGGGAAACTAGCAAATAACAACAATTGCCAGTTTAACAAAACCTGACATGGGTAGTTTCCAAGCTTAGGGTCCCATTGTTATGCCCCAAACACGTGGCGCGATGCGACAGCTGGTACCCCAGGCGACTCGAAGCACTAGACGCCCTAAAAACCTAGGAGCTCGCCTGACCCTAAACCCTAAACCCCAATCCTAAACTCTAATCCCTAAATCCTAAACCCTAATCCCTAAACCCTAACCCTGTAACCCTAATCCCTAAACCAAGAGCTCGCCTGACCCTCCTGGCACAAGCAGTTGAGCTGCGTGTTGCAGGAGATGTCAAACAGACCCTTGGACTTCCTGGGTTGCTGTTACGGAACTTAAAATAGAAGTTTCCCTAAATTACTGTTCCCAAAATGGAGAAATTTACATAGGGCCCCGCATTATAATAGGAACCCAAATATAGGACCCCGTATTGACAGTAATTTGGGACAATCCCCAAATAGGGCTTAGGGAATGGGGATTAGGGGGCAATAAACATGAGTTACCATAAGGGGTCACTTTAAAGAGGTTATGGGGAGTGGAAAAGACAATAGAAATACCAGTTGATTGGGGTTTAATTTAGGGCTCTAAGGGGTATAGGCGTTGCACATTAGCCTTCAGGGACGAGGGCTGTTTTTTTGTTGTTTGGGGTTTGGGTAGGTACTTTAACTACCAACACTATCGTCCCGGAATAATCCTAGTGGCTTAAGTTAACAGAATGGAAGAGAGAAAGGAGAATGAATTGAAACTATGGTATTTAAGCATTTTCTAAGAAATCACATGAAGTAATTTAAGTCCACATCGATGTACATTCACCCCACACCCTATGTAGCGTGCATCTACATATATATATATATATATTTCCCCCCAATTACGTACCCTTTGCACGGAGATCATTAACCCTAAACCCTAAACCAAGAAACCCTAGACCCCAAACCAAGAAACCCTAGACCCTAAACCAAGAAACCCTAAACCCTGAACCAAGAAACCCTAAACCCAATTTAAGTTCCTTAGCAGCAGCCCAGCGACAGGGGCCCGAAAAGATTGGCCAAGAGACCAACACCTGGCAAGCTTCAGGTTTAGGGTAAAAGGTTTAGGGTTTAGCGCTTAGGCTTAGGGTAAATGGCTTAGGGTTTAGGGTAAAGAGTTTAGGGCTTAGGGTTATTGCAATATACAAGGATATGTTAGAAAATCCAGAAGTTCATATATGTATATACCTTTATGTCCGAGAAAATACGTTAAAGAATTCTAAGCAAAATGCGAGGGTATGCAAGGATATATGAGCCATTGTTTAAACTCCTAGTATCCTCCTTAGTAACCCTTATAGTACTCCCCTATATAATCCCTTTCAGGAGTTTAGACAAAGGCGCATATCATGCAAGGATATCAAGGTTTTTGGCATTCGTCTTGGAGATGAGGATTTTGGAGCCCTGGGTTTAGGGTTTAGGGTTTAAGGCAGCTTTGGGCTTCAGGTAATGTAGACCCCTTATTAATAAACCCCCCTCCTTAACAGGGGCTATGATAGGGATCCTATTATTACGGCCCTAAAAAGGAGGGGTGTTATTAATCACGGGTCTACATTTATGGGGCTTCAAATTCCGGGGCACAGGATATTCGGCTGGTCGCGCCCAGCAAAAGTTAGGGTGTATGGTTGAGGGTTTGAAGGCCCCATACTGGGAAACCATATAGGAAGACCATAAACCCTAAGCCAAATGAGCTATAGTCTAAACTCCTAGTAATCCCCCTAAATAGACCCTATAGTAGTCCCCTATTTTATCCCCTATATAACCCCCTTTAAGGAGTTTAGACTATGGCTCATATAGGACCCCAGGGAGCCTAAAGGGCGGTCCTAGGCAGACCTTGGGATTCCTAAAGACCCCGGGAATGCTTGCGGAGTTTAGGGAGAAAATGAAGGTCCTCATTAGCCTAAGGGTCCGGGTGCACCGTACTTTAGCATTAGGGGTTTTGGTACGAGGAATTGTAGTACAGGTGTGTTGGGCAAGTATACAATTGTTGGGCACTTGGACCCTTAAGGTTAAGGATGATGCAGAGATTTTCTGGCGACATACCCCGGTGTACGAAACGCCTCGGGAAGCTGACCAGGTCTGGTGACGAGTTCTAGGGCCATCGAACACACACGAACGGGAAAACCTGCACGATGGATGGATTGTACGGACGAGCGCGCAGACCACAGATTGGGCCCGGGGTCCGGCACCACCAATCACAGGCCTCTGGTTAGCTGGGAATGAAGCAATGGAAAAGAACATGGACACTTCTTTAATGGGTTATATAGGAGCTACTATACGGATCCATTCCTTCATTCCTGGCTAACCAAAGGCCAGATCAAAAGAAACCTTCGCCATTCTTGCCCTCTGCATCCTGCAAGGCCGGAGGGCTCAAGTGTAGAAAAGTGGTCCGGAGCATGAGACCTGTTGCAGTCCAAAAAAGCTAGAAGAAGACGCACAAAATCAGGAACCTTTCCAAGTAAGGGATGCCCGGCCAGACTTTTCGCCCAAGCCCCAAGAGCCCAGGAAGGCGACGCAGATCGTGAAGCCCTCTTGAGCCGGAGAACTTGCCCCATCAAAGTTCCATACAAGAAAGGGCCCTAAGCACGAGGCAGCACAGCAGATAAGGCCAAGTCAGCAGACAGTCTGCTGTTGTACATGCGTGTACCACAAAAAAAGATGCTCTGGACCACTTTTCTACACTTCAGTCCCCCCTGGCCTGCCACAGCAATTTTCTCTACCGCCTGTACCTGGCCTGCCAGGGCAGCTCCCATTTGGGGTCTAGGGTCTTGAACTGAGTGCTAGGGTTTCGGGTTTAGGATTTAAGGTTTAGGGTAAGGGAACAAGTGGCCAAGGAGTACATGAACAGCCCAGCTGAAATGATGACTTCTGTTGCGACCGTAAAAGCTGAGTTGTGCAAGAATTATACATCATGAGGTACAAGAATTCTGAACAACTCATACGGGGATTGCAGAGATTGCGCGCAAGCTGAGGGAGGAGCATGTAAAAGGGATAAAAGAAGTTGGATGTGCAACCATACAGTTTCAAGAGCCACGTTCTACTTTCAGAGAAACATCTAGGGATTCTATGAGGATTCTAGGCCAAGCATATGTGCCTGAGTTGACAAGAAAAAGTGCGGACTTCTTAGGAAGAACTGTCTAGGAATTTCTACTTGTGGGTTGCATGAGGAAATGCAATTCTTCTAACGGGTCTACCGTTCTGCAGATCGAAAATCGTCGCGCATTTGAGTGTGTTTCACAGACCCTGAACCCCAAACCTCAGACTCAGACCCGGAACCCTAAACCCTAAACCTGTGAGAGTTTCTTGACCCAATACCTAAACCCTAAACCCCTAAAGCCTAAGCCCGAAACCCCTAAACCCTACACCCCAGTTCACATGAGGTTTGAAGTCTGTAGGGTTAAGGTTGACCCCGCCGAAATGCCCTACTTGGAGATTTGAAATACTGGCCTGTCAGGCGTGCTTTAGGGTTTGAATCCATCATCTTTACCTACTTTTGGGACTTTTGGGTAATTGTAGCCCAGTTACACATGTGCTTTTAACCCATCTAAAAGCCCCCGAAGTACAATTATAGCTGAATTACCATTAGGCTTATCCTTAAATTTGTTCATATAAACCTATGACTCCGGAGGCCTAATAAATCCTAATTTGAATTATAAGTTCCCAAAACCTCCAACCCTAAACCCTAAATCGAACCCTACATGTGCAATCATAAGAACCTCCACGTACTTTACCCTAAACCCTAATCCCTAAACCTTAAAACCTAAACCGGACCTCTGGAGGAGTAGTTGGGAAGGAACTCGATGCCTAGGGCAGCGCAATCCTCCAGGCAGTCCGATGGAACTTAGGTAGGGTTTAGGGTTTAAGGATTAGAGCTTGGGGATTTAGAGTCTCTGGTTTAGGATTTGGGTTTAGGGTTTGGGTTTGAGGGTGGGGGGTTTAGGGTTTTCGGTATTGCTGTGGATTCCAATACTACGCCCTCGACACTGCGCTTCCCTAGTCTCGCCCTTAATTAGAATTATCTCAAAATAGTTGAAGCTGATTAGGGTTAATGAAAAAGGAACTTGAGTAGGGGTAGCTTCGGGGGGTGGCTAATACGACCCATAACTTCAATAGCCTAAGAGCTTACTGCTCACCTAAACATCTCGGGTGCTTTCCCTGAGGTGACTGGAACTCACAAAGTCCTCGTCCAAGCACCAATTGTCGGGCTCTGATAATGCCCAGCCGGCCAGTGGATACCTGGGCTTGAAGATGGTTGAGGGCTTGGGGTTTAGGGTTTAGGGTGGTTTTCTGGCTAATCCCGAGTAACACGGTCCTTTCAATCTCTTTCGACTCCTTCGTTACCTACGAACAACCACCAGGTTCAGGGCTTGAGGTTCTCGGCCAAGATTTCCAAAGGGCGCACACTTACCTGGGGCTATTTCAGGAATTTCAGATTTCTAAGCATATGTATATATATATATGAACATACCAAGTTTGGCTTAAGTTCAAGCAAGTAGTCAAGAGAGTGCATTCTTGGGTGGCTTGAGGGGATATGTGATGTGGGATTTTACAAGCCGTAGTTTCACATTCAAGGCTCACGTGGAAAATTCGAATGCGGCGTGACATGATCAAGACAAACAACTCAACCTCTATTCCCTTGTAAGGAACCATGAGCCGTTTGACCTACTTGGAAGGCTAGGGGTACTTCATAAGCAGGTCCATGCTGGAGATAGCCGGGCCTATTGCCGGTTATAAGCACGCTGACTAAGACCTACTAAGTCCACCTACCGTGCACCTTAATCAACCTCAATCATCAATCCCTAAATCCTGAACCCTAAACCCCGTGCCCAAAACCCTAAACCACTAAGCCAACAAGCCCTAAACCCCAAACCCTAAACCCTAAACCCCTAAACCCATAAACCCTAAACCCTAAACCCCTAAACCCCTAAACCCCTAAACCCCTAAACCCTAAGCCCTCAAGCTGTAAGCCCTTGCCTAGATACTGACTCCCGTTCGCATCAGGCTCGAAGCTGAAATTGCTTCCATCAACCTTGGTACCAGTAGATTCAGGTTTAGGGTTTAGGGTTTACGGTTTAGGGTTTATACTCCCCTTTAAGTAGATAGAACATGGCTTTGGGTATATTATCAAAAGATCCCCATATACCCCATATTCTATCTACTTCCGGGGGATTAAGGGGCTTAGGGTTCTGCTTAGCATTTAGGATTTAGAGCTTTTGAGCTTTGGAGTTGGTGATTCGAAGTTTTCTCCGAACGGGGTTGATGGCATCCAAGGGCCCCCTACTCAAGGCTTTACCAGGGGGTTTAGGGTTTGAGAAGCACTTACCTACCCTAAACCCTAAATGTCAAACGAAAGCCCCTCTGCCCAGGACGTTCCGCCGCAGGCTTATGGATCGCAGCAGCAAAACAAAGTGTTCCAGTCGGAGCAGGCCTCAGGGTTTGGGGGCCTTGTTCAGCGTTGGTTTCTTGTGTGTCTGTGTGAGTTACCGTCCTTGGTTTGTCATTGGTAGCGGAGCCTAGGTAACGCTCCGAGTAACTAACTTGTGGTGTTTCCCATGTTCTGTGTTCCGTTTGTCGTGCTTGTTGGGGTGTTCGGGGTTTGAGGCCAGTGGCGTGTGCCGCCATGGCAAATGATGATGTGCCTGACCCGTGGGCCAATGCTGCGAGTCAACCTACTGCAGCTCCGGAAGCGGCTGCCAATGCTCAGAGTGATGATAGTACTCCCAGTCGTGAAAATTCTGGCAGCTCCTGGAATGGGCACTGGGGTCGAGCCTCCAATTCTTCTTGGGGTGCCAACGGTAGCCGTTGGGGACACACTGGTTGGGACTGGAATAGGCCTTACTGGAGTGGAGATACTCACTATGGCGGTTGGTCGTGGAATAGTGGTTGGGGTCAGCGCCCTTGGGGACAATGAGGCGGTTGGCCAGCAGGTGCTTCAGGTCATTTTGGTGCTGAACAGGCGAGATCGAATCATGAGGGCCAGGGTGGCTCCGAGAGCGAATCCAGCACTCCCTCCGGCGAGGGCGGAGAGCCCACTCCTGAGGAGGACACTCATCGCCGTGCTTCGGCGACTTCCATTTCAACAGGTGGTCCCTCCACCTCGAATGGAACGACGAGTATGGATTCATCAGCGAGAGACAAAGCGTCTGGCGAAGGCGCTCAAGAGGGTAAAATCGGTGCAAGCGAGAAGATGACGGTGCCGGGTTTCGATGCCGAAGCTACTGGCGAGGAACTGGGAACGAGCGCTCGTTCCTATCTGAGACAGGTGGATGCATGGTGCAAGGTAACCCGTACACCCCCTGAACAACGTGCCCTTCTCCTCTATCAGAACCTTAGTGGTAGAGCCTGGATTGAGGCTGAAGAGCTCAATGTTGAGGAGCTGGCTAGTGCCGCGGGCCTTTCCGTCTTCAAGACTTGGGTTCAAGAAAGATATCAGGAAGTTGAGGTTTCTAAGATTGCGGAGGCCCTTACCAGCTTCTTTCGCAGGCTCAAGCGCAAACCGGGACAAACCATTCGGGAGTTCAATTCAACATTTGATCGAGGTCACGCCCGTCTCCTTGAGATTGATTGCCGCCTCCCCGAGGTTGCCAGGGCTTGGGCCTACTTGAATGCCTTGATTCTTTCAAACTCAGAAGAGCTTGCACTGCTGGCCTCTGTTGGGAATGAGTATCATACAGGTAGGCTTCAAAGGGCTGCTGTTCTTCATTGGCAACCTAAGAAGGGTCTGGACACTGGCGCTGTTGGTCACGGAGGCAAGGGTACTAAGCATGCCTTCCTCACCGGGGTTGGGGATGAAGATGCGGAGTCCGGAAATGGGGTTCAAGAGGATGAAGAGGAGATCCTCCCTGAAGAAATGGCCGCTGAAATTCATGAAGCATATGTCGCTCAAGAATCTGCTAAAGCTAGATTTCGTGAAGTTGCTAAAGCTGGAGGTGCTGATCCTGCTGTCCTTCGTGACCCCAAGAAGAGCCACGCCAACCAAGACGACTCCTCCAAGGTCACGGTTGAACAGAGACTTCGGCTGGCTAAAGCCCGTAGCTATTGCACAGGGTGCGGCCGTCGTGGACATTGGCGTAAGGACAGCCACTGTCCTTTGAATCAGGGCAAGACATCAGACAACGCTCCTCATACACGTGGCTCCCAGAATGCTCATGTTACCACAGCCCTTCATGAAGGTGTTTCCCCTGCTCCTCCCGAACCTCATCCAGTTGTTCAGGTCGCTTATGAGGTTGGGTTTGATGATTCCTCCCGTTTGCTATCACGGATACGGCCTGCAGCAAGTCGGTTGCGGGACAGGGTTGGCTCCAGGGCTACTTGAAGGTTGCAAAGGATGCCGGCGCGAAGACGCAGCTCCTGAATGCCCAGGAAGATTTCCGGTTTGGTGCGTCCAAGGTCTTCCGGGCTTCCGAGGCTACGTATACGGCCACTTTGGTTTTGTCAGTCCGAGGAAAGAGCTTTCTTCTCCGGGCTTCGGTTGTTCAAGGAGATGTGCCACTGCTGTTGAGTCGCAAGGTCCTCAGTAAGCTTGGTATGGTTTACGATGTGGAACGGCATACTGCAGAGTTCAAGCATCTGGACATTCCGGAGTATCGCCTCCTGACCACTGAAAGCGGGCATCCTGCCATTCCGGCAAAGTCTAGCGCTGTAGATGGCCTTGTGATTCCTACGCTGGGGATGAGATTCGCTTGCTACCCTCTGCCAAGTGCCAATATGCTGCAGGTAGTGCGGAGTTTGAGTGCCCAGACATGCGCGTATCACTGTCTCCAGTAGCTCATTTGCCTGATCCCAGTGGACTTGTGTCAGGAGCTCAAGAACAATCCCGAGATATGACACCACAGCTGGCTTTGGGGCCAACGCTACTGCGTCGCGAGATGCATGTGATGTCCCTAAGTCTCCAGAGCCCGAAGCTAACGCGAATGTTCCTCCCCATGCTCCAGGACCAACTGCAAACCTCAACAGCTTCTCCTTCAAGACTATCTTCTATCCCAAAAAGATTCCGAATGTGATCTTCAACTTTCTCACTGGGGAGACCTTGAACTATGACATGTTTGCTAAGTGGTGGAGGGAGAATCCCCTTCAAAAGGATTTTTGGTTGGAGACTACTACCCCTCATCCGGGCGCATGTGATTCCCAGGAAGATGCTCTTCGACCCTAGCAAGTGGATCACCAGCCAGGAGGATGTGAAGAAGAAATTGATGCGTGCCTTGGGTCCTGTTAGAAGCACACAGGCTATTGCATGTCAGTCACTTCGGTCTCTCCACGCTTTGCACGATGATTGGGCTGCAACGCAATCCGATGGCCATGTTGCGCTCTGGGTTGGGAGAACGATCTTTCCTAGGGCAACTCCTGAGCATCGCTTTAGAGGGCCTGATACTGGAGCTCCCCATGACTTCAACTCCGAAGACGCCTTGGCAAATGACGAAAGCGGAACTGGTAGCCGAGGCTACCCGCCAGGGATCCATCGTTCACCCCTCATGGAATGTCGGAGAGATTCGTCAGGTCTTCATCGAACACCGGAGGGTCAACGACGGTGTGAATCTTATGCCCAAGGGACTTGGCTCCATGAGTCTTGCACAACTCAAGGAGCAGTGTGTGAAGCGCGCGGTGGATGTTCCGGAGAAGGCGGTGAAAGGACAACTCCAACTACTCCTTCGCCGAACCCACTCCCCACCAGGAGAGGCGGTGGTGAGCTTTGGCCGCCATGCCAGCAAACTGTACTGGGAGGTACCGATGTCGTACCTCAAACGCACGATGGCCGAGGTCAAGGCGAACCAGGGCAACTCTTCGCACGACTTGATCCACCTGGCGACGTATGCCGAGTCGATCCTGAATGCAAAGGCCCCCTGCCAACCTGGATCCCGAGCAATGTCAAGGTGGCCATCCCGGAGGAGAACGAGGATGCGAGCTCAGCGGGGGCCTCAAGCTGGAGTCAGGCGCCCGAGCCCCGATTGAGCAAGGGGGACGCGAGTGGCCCCAAACATGGCTATCTTCCGACATCATCGCCGAGCCCGGTGGTTCTCAAGCGTCGGGCCAAGGAAGAGCAGACGGAGACCCAGTGCATGCAGGAGGGGGCCCCCGAGATGTGAAGCGCGAAGTGGAGGCCCTAGCCACACGCCTGGCGGTCCTGAATGACAACTCGGGATCTGAGTGAGCTCCCGCGTGGTGAGTTTTCCATTGACGCAACCTGTCCCCAGCATAGCCTTGATGATCTTGATCCTGAAGATGAAGAGATTTTCCATGATTGCTGGGATGGTTGTAGTCCCTATGATGTAGAGTACGCCGGCTCATCTTTTCCGCCAGGGGATGGTGACTCCCTTGACGATCCTTTCAATGGCCTTTCAGTAGAGCACTTCGCCAAGAAGCTGTGCGATGAAAAGGACTTCTCCTCCCAGTCGTGTGAGCGCATTGTCAAGTATGTGTGTGCCAAGTCCCGGAACGAGAGAAAGCGACAGGTTGCAGCCAACACATGTTCAGTTGCACTCGGGGCATACACTCACGGAGCTTTCCATGGGGCAATAAAGAAGACATTCAGGTATTTCCATGTGGCGCAGTACTTGAACAAGTTCCTTCGTTTTCATGGCGCCCGAGGTCCTCGGAGTTCAACCCAGCTCAACTTTGATGCCGCAATCAATCCGCATAAAGATGCTCATAATCTACTTGGCACTCCTAACTGGACTATTGGTCTTGGGGATTACCAAGGGGGGCGTCTTTGGCTTGATATCCGTTCTGCTGACTCTGAGGAAACATCGGCGCTATGTGATGGAGCGACGGCCTCCGGTCTCTACTTCAACACCAAGGACCAAATTCAGGCCTTCGATCCGAAGCGCAAGCATGGTATTGAGCAATGGCATGGTAGCAGGTGTTCGATAACAGCCTACACTGTTCGAGGAGTTGATGATCTGAGTCTTCCCGATCGTGATGTTCTGAGCACATGCGGCTTCCACCTTAATGATCTTGAAGAATCTGGTGCTCCCCGCCAGGAGAAACACAAGGACAGCTTCCGCCCCAAGAAGAGTACCCGGAAAGGACTTTGGAAAGGTGCTCAACGCGCCAGTGCTTTGTTCACTTTGAGTATGGCGGCAGCTTCCTCCTTCCTTGCTCGATGCCCTCTGCTAAGGTGATCGAACATCCTTCGCTTCTGGAAGTTGGCGGCTATGATATCACCCTGGATATCGCTGAATCTGGAAGCACGGTTATCGAGCCTGTTCCTTGGGAGAGTTTTGTTCGAGGGAACACCTTGGATGTTCTTGGCACCGTAGCTCGACTCCATCCTCATGTTGTTTGGGTTCACGGTAGGGAGTTTGAGGAAACCAGCAAGCCCTTGACCTTGCTGCTCAACAAATCGATGGGGGCAGAACTTTCGTATATCAAGAAGAGATTGAGGGGGAGACTTGGAGGAAACCTTGTTTTCAGCAGTTCTTGGCGCAGCATGAGCACACCTTTGAGGACCACCAGGGCATCCGCACACTTCGTCTTGGTTTTTTCTCTCCAAAATGATAAGGCTGGGCATCCAGCGCTTGTGGCTGAACATGAGTCCCCTCAACCTGCTCTTCTAGGTGGATCCTCGGCTACGCCCGGGAATGCCATCTCTTTGGATGCCAAAGCCAGAGTCCCCAAGCCCATTCAGATGGCTTTGACAAGACTCCACCAGAACCTTGGACACCCTCGAGTTGAGGACATGACGCGACATCTGAGGTATGCTGGAGCTGAAGATGCGGTTCTTCGGGCATGTAAGGCTATGAGATGTGAAGTTTGTGCCCGTAACCAACGCACAAAAGTGCAGCTCGTCCAGCCACATTGCCTTCCCTCTTGGACATGAATCAGCTTGTTAGTGTAGACGTCTTCCACATCTTTGATTCCAATCGGGTTAGGCACGAGATCCTATCAGTCATCGACCATGCCACGACCTTTCATTTGGCCTGCAAGATAGAGGGTCACTCGGCTGAAGAGTTTTCCAAGAAGTTCACCCAGCTTTGGGGAAACGGAATAACTTTTCCGAGTTGCTTTTCAAGCGACCTTTCGGTCTTGCATGTTTTCAACATGAACGCAGACTGACTTCCACTGGCCTGTCCTGGTCCCTTTTGTCGATGTCTCTTGGCCACGGCGCCAGCCGGCGCCGGTTTGTCGAGGGACCGACGATCACCTGCTGCAGCAGAAGAGGGAGCTTCAGGAGGGGCTTCGGGAAGGGCAACGTCACCGGAGTCAAGATCAAACTGCAAAGAGGCTTCGTCTTCGGGAGAAATCTCTTGATCCATGTCGGCATCTTGGTCTTCGGCTACCTGTTCTGTTTCATGGTAAGCTTCAGGATCATCCATGTCGAATTTCAAGAGCCTCTCCAAGTCATCCCGAGCAACACGAGTACTGAAGAGACCCTCAAGTTCTTCTGAGGTAGCTGGCCTAAGGTGCTCCTCAGCAACTAGGTGACATCTACCTGCGAGAGACACCACCAATTGCCGCCCTCAGCCCCAATGATAGTCCCTGGGCCTCTCCACGAACCCTGCTTCATAGCGACCTTCTCGATTCTGTAGAAACAAGCAAGCTCCCCAATTGAGTAGCGCCCCCCTTCTTGACCCTGGCTCTTTGAAGCAAAGCCCTACGGAACTTCGTGTCAAGTTGAGTTCGAAAAAATGCCATGCGTGCAGAAGTATGTACTGCTGCCTCACGATGTTGTCGTCGGTCATTGGACATCAGGTTGATAAAGCGCTCTTCATTCCCAGTCGAACATAACTCCTCAGGGGCTTTTGGATCTCTACCGAGCACCGCCTGCGACGGCGAAAAGCCATGACGTCTACAAAGCTCATTCTTAGCACTGTTGACCGCCTGAAGGGCCTGATCCAGATCATCAGCTGTGATCGAGTTCTCATCGATAACACGTTGCAATATCTCCTGATACCACAAGCCGTGTCGCTCTAAGATCCCCTGCTGCCAGTGAGCCTGACCGGCAGAAGAGCGTAGCCTGCAGCCATGGAACTCGGCATATCTGGAAAGTCCGGCTTGTAGCCCTGTTTCGAGGTCAGCGGAGATTGTGCCTGGAGCTCCAAACACGAGAAAGCGAACACGCGGCCTTCCGAGCGGCTGAGGACAAACAGTTTCAAGAGCACTTGGATCACACGGCTTTGATTCCCCTCTCTCCAGAAGAGAGTGCCCGAGGAGAAGCTGAAGTGGATCCGTCCAGGATTTTGACCTCCAGATTCGCTTATCGCGATAAAAACTACTCGAGGCGCAAGCTTGATGCCTCAGTAGCTAGGCGGCATAAATCCAGGTTGGTAGTATCCGGACATCAGGATCCGGATGGCGCTGTGCTGCAGACAGACGCCCCTACCATCAACCGTCTCTCAGTGTTGTCCCGCTTGCAACTCGTCGCAAGCCGGCGTAAGTCCCATGGCTGGGAGGCAGCCGCTGGAGATATTCAGGCGTTTTTAAACGGGGATGCGCTAACAAGAGAGCTCTTCTTGCACCAACCCCGCACTGGGTTGAAGAACCTAGCGCCGCAACAACTGCTCAAGATCAACAAAGGCATATTTGGATTGCTAGATTCGCATCGCAGATGGTGGCGACGCCTCCGGCAGGACGCTTTGGCACTGGCGCTAGTCCTTGACGGGGTTGAGCATAGATTCGTGCAGAACGCTCTGGACCCATGCGTTTTCCAACTTGTTGGTCCAAGCAGCAGCCCCGAAGCTCACCCTGAACCTGTAACCTACAGCGGTGTTCATGTAGATGACCTGTTGGTTGTTGGGAGCAGACAAGTAGGTCAGCAAGTTAGAGATGCCTTGTCCGCGGCCTTCCCGGTGGATGGTTGGGAGATTGATAACTTCGAGTACATTGGTTCACATGTGACTGTCTCCGACGAAGGTGTGCATGTGTCTCAGGAAGCCTACGCAACTTCTAGACTTTTTGAGGTTGATCTTGTTAAGGGCCAGCAAGACCTTGACCTAGCCTCTACAGAGCAGAAAATCGATAACCAATCACTCATCGGGGCACTTTCGTGGTTGGGTTCTCAGACCCGCCCAGACCTTCAGCGCAGTGTGTCCCTGGCGCAGCAGCTTCAGAAGGCTCCTACAGTCGGAGATATCAAGTTCACCAACCAGGTCGCGCGCCGTGCTTGGAGTCACCGAGACAAAGGGATCTGGCTTAGACCCCTTGATCTTTCTTCACTGGAGTTCGTTGTGTACCACGATTCTGCCTTGGCTAATGCGCTCTTAGAGGGGGAGGATGGTTTCCGTTTGTCTTCTGAAGACCATGAGCTCGGAACTATGACGACTGGTCCCTTTGCTGACAAGACCCGGAAGGCTAGAAGGGAGAACTCCAAAGTGGCCCGTCAGTTCGGAATCCTGATCTATCTCACTGACTCCGCTCGTTATCTTGAAGGAGGTGGAGTTGGCAGCATCCTCGATTGGAAGTCGACGGCTAATCCGAGGGTCTGTCGGTCTACTTTTGGGGCCGAGACGATGGCCTGCGCTGAGGCCGTAGAGATGGGGCAGTACGTTCGGTCCTTCGTTGAGACGGTTCTGAAAGGGAGTCTGCAGCGCGTAGAGTTTCTTGCTGGAAGCCAGTTGACATGCGTCACGGACTGTACATCACTCGTTGACCATTTGCACCGTGAAGGAATACCTAGAGTTCCTTCTGACAAACGTCTCGAGATAGATCTAGCCGCTTTGCGCCAGCATTTTGAGCTCGAGAGACTTGACCGAAGAGAAGCTTCCACTCTTCTGGGTTCCTACCGGGTTCCAGTTAGCCGATATTTTGACTAAACCTAGGGTTGCTGATGAATGGTGGTCGCAAGTCCTCAGTGGGCCTCGCTGGCCTTTCGTGAAAGAGCCCCGGCCAAGCCGTGAAGGTTCTTAGAAACTGTGCACAATCATTTCTAGAGGGGTGACACTTTTTAAGCAGTGTCAAACGAAAGCCCCTCTGCCCAGGACGTTCCACCGCAGGCTTATGGATCGCAGCAGCAAAACAAAGTGCTCCAGTTGGAGCAGGCCTCAGGGTTTGGGGGCCTTGTTCAGCGTTGGTTTCTTGTGTGTCTGTGTGAGTTACCGTCCTTGGTTTGTCACAAAACCCTTAACTGGGTTGTTGCTAAGGAACTTAAATTAAATTACCATAATAGGGAAACCGCGTTTATGCCACAAACCCATATTATGGTGACTTAAACTAAGTTCCTTAAGAGCAACCCAATAAATTTGACAATCGTGTTTAGGATCCTTGGGTTGCGATTTGGCTTCTCAATGGTTAGAACAGACTACGGGATCCTATACTAGAGTTATGTAAGAAATTTGCGGGATAATCTTGGCCCCTAAACCCTGAACCCCTAAGCCCTACATCAATGCTCTTGTAGAGGGGGCTGTGACAATTAGGTTTCTCTTCGGTGCAAGAAGTGCGTATAGACTTGAGCTGGAATATTGGTGCGTTCAGAACTCGAATGCCCGTTTCAAATGGTTTAGTGTTTAGGGCTTCGGGTCCCTCATCATCAAGGAATGTTACTATATAACCCCAAAATACTATACTAGTTTCCATGTTCTTTTCCACTAGCCCCCCAGTATACGATAGTAGTTTCCATGTTCTTTTGCATTAGCCCTACGTAATCCTAATATACGGTAGTAGCTTCCATTTTCCATTATCCCTACATGGGCCGTTTCCGAAATGCTTGTTCCCGAAATGGTCTAAAATTCGGCTTTCCCTGCGTGCCGCCTCATATGTGAAGATAAAAATCGGGCTGCTGTTACGCAGCAGATTCCTGTTGGAACTGTGAAGTTTGTTGAAAGCTTCTACCGCGGAGCTTGTTTTGCGATTTCTTTCTAGTCATACACGGCACAGCAACACTTCCGGAAGCTCATCTATTCCTTCAAGACATGTACAATCGAGATGCTCTAAAAAATCTCTAGCGCTGGGCTAGCGGTTTCCTAGTGCCACACTGGTGGTTCATCGAATTTCCCTGCGTGCCGCCTCATGTCGAAGAGGAAAACATGATGCTCCTCATTCTATTTTATTCATTCCTTATAAAATACTAATACGCGTATTTTGGACGTAGCCCCATATGACTCCAATATACTATAATAGTAGTTGTTTCCATTTTCTTTTCCATTCTCCCAACACAACCCCAATATACCCCTAATACGTCCCCATTTAATTTTCCATGTTCTTTTCCATTTGATTCTCCATTATATCAAAATTGCGCGGAACGTTGGACAAATTGTTTGTGGTCTAGGAATTGAAGGGGTTTAGGGTTTACGGTCTAGGAATTGAAGGAAAATTCCAGGGAGGTATGGGTGATATCGGGACCACCAGCGGATTACGCGGCCGGCCATTTAGGATCATACTACGTAGATGTTTTACGAAGTACACGTACTATCTCAAATGATGAATATAAACCCACTTTATGGCATTGCCCTTATATACCCTATTATAACCTCAATATATAACCTATTATAGTAGTTTCCATTTTCTTCTCCATTATCGCCTTAATAACCCTATATTAAACTCTCTAGGTCTGCAACGTAGGGTCAACTTTTGTGAGCGTTTCACAAGTCAAGCAACCCACGTCCAATCACCGCTTTCGTTAGTGCCCCGTTCGAAGAGGCCCACGAAAGCCGCAGCTTTATACCTGGGCGCCAGCACAGGGCATGGTGTTCAGGGGTTTAGGCTTTAGGGTCCAGGGATCGGACCTCAGGGTTTGGACTAGAATTTTACTGCTTAGGGTGTAGGATGTAGGGGTAAGGTGTAGGGTTTAGAGTCAAAAGCAGGGACATTTGGGTCGATCATAAGCAGGTTCGAGAAAATCGCATATCCTAAGGCAAGATCCTGCCCAAGACAGCAAGCTCAGACCCTAGACCCGAATCCCTGAACACTGACTCCTAAACCCTAAACCCTGACTCCAAAACGGGAACGCGAATACTTACGACGGGTTCCTGTCTGAAGGCAAGGCCGCTCGAAAATAGTGCGCAACTTTACCTTAAATTAGGGTTTAGGGTTTAGGGAAACAGTTGTCCAAAATCATAGTCTACCATACCGGCAATGTCCTCCCACAACCCTCATATATCCCTGGAGTCTCTAGGGTACCCTAACCCTAAACCCTAAACAGATTCCTAGATACTCGTGTGTGAGGTTCACCAAGAAAAACTGTGTGTCAATGTCGTGGATGACGGCCAGGGTGGAGCCCAGACGGCTGCAGATCCGGTCCTGACCCGAATTTTAGGGTTTAGGGTTTAGGGGTTTAGGGAATTTAAGCATGTTAGGGTAGGGGCAGAGTAGATGGAATATAGGGGTGACATTGAGATAATGGAAAAGAAAATGGAAACTACTACAATGGGCTATATAGGGATTGTAGGGGTTATATTGGGGTTTAGGATTTGGGATTTAGGGCTTCGGGTTCAGGACTTCGGATCTAGTAGGGTTTACCGTGCCCTTTGTGGGCTTTTGTGGGAGAGCAGTCGTCACCCCTATGTCCCCGTCCCTTAAAGAGCCACTTACAACCGAAAAGAAATCAGAACTGCTGTAAAGAACTGCCAGAAAGGTCACTGCCGTCCTGACACTGAGTCATGCTCCCCTTCTCCTCTGTGAAGATGTAACATTTCTCCTTAGACAGGTTTGGAAACTTGAGATAAACAGCGCTTGTTCCTGATCCCCTCCCCTAGTATTAACAAACAGTAGTATTAACAAACACACACCACCCCTAATTAAACATATGACTAACACATGACCACCTACATTGGGACACATTGAATATCTGGGAGGGGACTGGAAGGGGGTGTTCAGTGCTGGGAGGGAGCG